TGTGGGTGCAGTGGCTCACGCCTGTAATTCCAACACTTTGGGAGGCCAAGGTAGGAGAATTGCTTGAGGCCAAGAGTTTGAGACCAGCCTGGGCAACATTAGAAAGACCTTATCTCTAAAATTATTTTTTAAAAAAGTAAAAACTTTATAAAGTAAAAAATGAAAGAAACAACCTGCTATCGTTAAAAGTAGACCAAAAAAAAAAAAAAAAAGAGAAAGATAACTTGGTCCTCCTTTATCTGAATTTTTTTTTTTCCTGTATCAGTGTGGGCAAATTTTTTAAAAAAGTAAAAACTTTATAAAGTAAAAAATGAAAGAAACAACCTGCTATCGTTAAAAGTAGACCAAAAAAAAAAAAAAACAGAGAAAGATAACTTGGTCCTCCTTTATCTGAATTTTTTTTTTTCCTGTATCAGTGTGGGCAAATTACCTAAAACTTCCATGTCCTAAATACAATAAGAGTTTCTGTACAGATTCCAACATGCCATATGCCAGTCCTACCTTTTTTGGAATGAGTTACAGAGATATTGATACAAGCACAATCAGAGAGAAGGTACTTTTGTCGTATGTTGATAAAAACTTGTGCATCACCTAACTACATCTGGTACAATGATGGATGATGCCAACATTACTCAAAGCAGGTACCACTGTTTACTTTGGTGTAGTCAATGGCAGACCTTATAAATCAAGTCATTTTCAGTAATACAACTACCAGGCAAAACAATAACTTCATCATTCCACAGAAATCTTCTAGTGAGGCTCTAAAATGTGGAGGCATAAATGGGGAAGAGGAGGAGGGAATGTGATGGTCAAGGTCACTCTACCAATGAGTTCCTCCCAGACCGACGCTTTGTTCCCCCGTAGGCTCAGCTCCCGCTCCCAGGTCTCTGGCCTAGACAGCTTCATCCTCTTCCCAGCTCTGCTAGAATCCCAAGGCCCGGGAAGGCGACTTCGAGAAAAGAGCTGTAGGTTGGAGGGGTATCTGAGGACAGGCAAGAAAGAGGTCTATCATTTCAGAGTCGGCAAGAAAAGAACTCAGAAAAGGAAAGGTGAGTCATGTTTACAGGTGAGTCAGAAAATGAAAGCCAGCAATTGGAAAGCCAGTCATGTCTACAGGGCAGATCTGCCTAAAGTCATGTTGCTGGGTTTGAGAGCTACTGGGATAGGGGCCATGGATGTTGAAAAGTTACGGAATTACTTAGACGGAATGCATGCTCAGGGTGGAGCTCCTCACCTGTAACCCAGCAGGGCTTGAACGTGCTGTGCAGGCTCGTGGATGTGCAGTCGCTGAACCAGCTTCTTCAGGGTGAACCTTGGAGGATTCTTTTTCTCTGACACTGTATCATAGGCCTTCTCAAACTGTGGAAACATCCCCAAGTCCCACAGGGGTCCTTTCATCCATGACCATGGGAACTTTCTTCAGTAAAACAGATTGTAAAACCATCCTATCCCTATGTGGTAATTTCTTTCCTCAAAATAGATTTGGTCAAGGAGTAGGAATAGAGGATACAAATCTCTGGCAACAAGAGTTCCCATGGTGAGCACAGGATGGCAGCTCTTTGGGGTCACCGTTTCATTCACACAAGCAGTCAACATGGGATGACTGGCTTGTGAGAAACAAGGTGGGGATAGAATGAACATAGGACAGCTTTGTTTGTAGAGGAGGGGAAAGAGAAAATCAGCTCCGATTTAAATCACTGAGACTCTAATAGATAAATGAAGAAACAAGCACAATGCAGGTTACGAGGAGTTTAAAAACTAAAAGTAGGCCAGGTGTGGTGGCTCATGCCTGTAACCCTAGCACTTTGGGAGGCCCAGGCAGGTGGATCATTTGAATCCCAGCTACTCGGGAGGGAGGAGTAGGAGGTCAGGAGTTCGAGACCAGTCTGACCAACATGGTGAAACGCCCTCTCTACTAAAAAAAAAAAAAAAATTAGC